GATTGCAGCTAATTTTCTTCGTGTGACGGACTTTCTGCCTATTTACGCTGCAAATACACGGTTAGGTAGTTTCACGAAGGGGCAACCAACATTCATCGTCTCGGATGATCTCGAAGGATCGCTCCCRCCGTCTATTTCTACGATTTCAAAATTCAACACTCTTGGCATTCCTGTTGGTGATATTGAGGTTCTGGAAGTGAGCATTGGTGAACAAGAGGTATTTTGAACACTCTTGTTGCATGAACTTTCTGGTGGTAAATTTTTCAGAGCTTAGCTCAACTGGCAATAAAGTTTGATTATTTAGGRTTTTTTACGGAGGTCACCGGTTCGAGTCCTACAAGGTCACTGGGATTTTCCTGGTTGGCTGTTCAGTTCTTTACGGCCTTGGGATTAGCCGAGGTGCGTGCAAGTTAGACCGAACACCCACGTTTAACAAAAAGAAATTCTAGTACTAACGTAGAGAATAGAGAGAGAACGAACTATAGATTGAGAAAGTCACAACTTCTTACATACGCCACACACTACAAAAAGATGGGCGTTTTGGGATGCTGAACTGTCCTTGGACATCTTAATAGAGTATTTAATGAGATTATTATATAAAATCATACAGTTTCTTTTATTTTCAGTTCTATTATTTACTGTTTATACATCTAACCGAACATCTGTATTTATTTGATTATGTAGGCACTTTCGATTCTAAAAGCTTCTCTCACTTCGACATCAACTTTAACCGATTGCCTCTATGCATTTACGAAGGCATAACAATAGACTTAGAAGGTATAAATTGATCTATGACGGATATGATCATGACATTKAAGGTCCAGTTTCGTTTGCAGAAATGAAATGGATTTGGGGGATTTAGATTTCAAATCTACTATTTATCAGTTATTGTAAACAAATCTGTTATAGAAGTTGAGTTGGTTTTATATTTCGAAAAAGTCAAATATTCTTATCTATTTTGTTCTAAACAAAATTTATCAGTTCTGGTTACAAGTATGATATATTTACTCCATCGATATATGATTTTGTGAATTTGATATTAAAAWTTTTAGGAATTTTAGCACGTCGTGTTCTCTTTAGTTTTGGGCATTTATTTATGCAATTCCACATAGGGGTGTACGCGTGTTGRGTTGGGCGGTTTACAACAATTTTACAACCCAACCCAATTATGGCGGTTTGGAAAAATCTCAAACCAACCCAACCCAATCCATTCAAAAGTATAACCCAACCTAACCCTTGCGGGTTGGGTTGGGTTGGCCGGTTAGTAGTTACATAATTTAACGAATAAAATAATTCATAAAACTTAAGTTTATGGACCACACTGTAAAGCGTCCTCTCTAAAAAGGTTACAATAGGTTTATTGTACGTTTTTGGACGTTTCAACWAGTGTTTTAGAATGATCTTTAAATAATATGTCGTATTAGTTATTTTATAGAAATATTTTGAGAAGTGTCTCGTAAACTCATCTATTTATAGAACACCTATGTTCATATGACAATTTTTCAAGTCGTGTTATATAAAATAACTAACACGACACTTTATTTTAAAGGCATCATAGGATTTGTTAAGACGTCCAAAATCATCCTATAAACATATTGTAACTCTTTTAGATAAGACATTTTTCTAATGTAACTCTTTAAAAGCATCATAGATTGATGGATTCGTCCATCAAATATCTATCATTATCATTCATATTCTCCAACATACCAATTTGTTGTTGCTGCAAAAAAAAAAAATTCAATAATTTTTCTTATTAGTTAGATTATTTGTCATCATTCTTTCATCGTGAATCTCTTTTTGCTAACCTATACGTTTAGCTAAAGTGAAACAAAACATAATATCAATAAAAATTATATAAAATTTATACATTATTAATATATATATATATATGTATACACACACATAATAAACATATATATATATATATATATAAATGAAATTTTATAAAAAATATATATTAGCGGCGAGCTCAACCCAATTTCAACTCTCCTAAGGTTAGCAGTTTGGCGGGTGGACGGTTGGACGGATTGGGTTTAATTGGGTTGTTAGCGGGTTGGGTTGGACGGCTTTCGCGGGTTGACGGTTTTTTGTACACCCTTAATTCCACACCTTCAACGTATGTGCATATGTTCGTGGATTTGAAACGTTAACATTGGGGAGCATTATTCAATTGTTAGGTTTACACAACGTTGTGCTCTCTTCATTGTGAAGACAACGATACAATATTGCCAACACATTTTTGTTTGAACGATAAGCATCTATTCATTGGTTTCTTTACGATTCTTGGTTTAATACGTTATTTTGATATTACTTTTTCTAGATTTTGTGATCAGGCCTGCTAAGAGTAGTGGRATTTCTTTGTTCATTCTTYGCTTTTATTACGCGAGACATATCCATCCACAGAAACAAACTAGGCATTGGATGGATACGTCTTGTSTAAATGACGAGTTTGTATTATATATCGTACAACAGTGTTTTTCTATCAAAACATAATATTGGACCAACGTATTTGGATGTGAACTCAAAAAAAGGTGGAGCAGTCAAGTTTAGATGAACATTTAAGGTGTTGTTTAGTWAATTTTTCATTAAATCATGCATAGATAAAACTGTATGTATGGATTAATATGTCTGTATAGAATTAAAAYGGTTTTGTTTGAGAGAGTTTTTTTTATAGACAGAGGGAACATGTTTTCTAATTATGAGGAACATGTTTGGAAAAAACTTGACTTTCTGCATAAAGTTCACTGAATAAGTTATTTTCAATATCATTAAGTCATTACCAAACAGTCATATATACCTGACTGAATAAGTTGTTAGTCKCATTAAGTCTATTAAGCTGCTAACAAACACGCCTAAGTCTTTTTTATACCAAAGTAAATACTATTATCAATTATCAAAAAAAGTTCACTAGATATACTGCAATAACAAATATTACTTAAGACAAAATGCATCAAAAYGTAATGAAAATTATCTTCACTTTTATTTAATGTAATAGACAATTTTTTTTCTCAATTAATGTAACAACGTTTCAAAATTTTCCATTTTTTAGGGGCCGTTTACCAAACGTTTACCCGGGTAAGTGTTTACCAAGTAACATTACTGACAGGCTAGGATCGTTCGTGTTTTCCTAGTGGGCAGAATGTCCYCACAATKACGGTGCAAGTGCACGCCGACACTATGATCGCTTGCAAGTAGTAAAATGGTACAAAGTACCGAGATCGTTCCCACAGAGAAASTACGATTGAGATTTAGAGATTTTTCATGAACTTCTTGSATAAGTTTCGAGATGTAAAATAACTTTGGATTTTTGTTTATAAAAAGACTGAAATAGGACCGACTAGCTAATTAACACAATAAACTTTTAATATTAAATGATGGGCATGGGTGCAAGTGTTGCTTAAGATAAAATTAATAATAAAATGGTTAGACTTTTACAAGTTGTTTATAAAAGTTCCAATCTCTCGA